AGTGGGGGGATGGATTAGCCTGGTGATGGGTATTAAAGAGGGCACGTTCTGCGTGGAGCACTGGGTGTTATGCACAAACAATGAATCATGGAACACTACATCAAAAACTAATGATGTATGGTGATTAAGATAAGAATAAAAAAATTTAAAGAAAAAAAAGAAAATCAGTGATTTAGGGGTGCCTGGGTGGCTCATTCGGTTAAGCATCTGACTCTTGATGTCAACTCACGTCATGATCTCAGGGTCATGAGATCCAGGCCCATGTCAGGCTCTGTGCTAAGCATGGAGCCTAAGATTCTTTCTCCCTCTCCTTTTGCCCCCCCCGTCACATGTATGCACAAGCGTGTTCTCTCTCTCTCAAAAAAAAAAAGAAAAGGATTTGACACTTTAAAGAGAGTCTAATTGTAAGAGTTTAGCAATTTCTTACACTGTACATCGACCTTCATTGATAAATGATGAGAATCCATCTCCTCATGATATGATTTGCTGCAACAACACTTTCACAAAATGCTAGTCAGCCTATATTTTCTTTCAAAGGATGTCAGTTAGGATGCCATTAACATATTTCATAGCCAGTGATATAAAGTAAGGGGCACAAAATTAAACAGAACTATGTTTAGAATATGTAGAGAGTGTGTATTTTCATTAGAGGAAGAGAAGTATCCAGAAAATTTGTCTACCCAACTAAAATCCAATTATATTGACATTCTTTTTGTAATACATTCTCACCATCATCTCAGGAAGTCATTTTTGCATCAAAATAAATAGAAATTAATTGTAGATTATCTGTTCAAGATATATAAAATGCTCCGTATGTTTCTTTTATTTAGTATAGTTTGTTTAAATTTTGATTTAGAGAATATAAAAAGGATATTTATAAATGCTTTTTTTTTTTTGGTGAGCATAGCTTAATGGATAGGATTGTTAGTCTTGTACACCTGAAGCTAATATGACATATGTCAATTATATTTCAATTAAAATATATAAACATAAATAGATGTAAGTGTATAAATACATATATATAAATGCTTTTTAAAAAAGATTTTAGTTTTTTAAGTATCTCTTCACCCAACATAGGTCTTGAACCCACAACCCCGAGGTCAACAGTCACACTACTGAGTGAGCCAGTGAGGTGCTCCTATATAAATGCCTTTTTAGTCGATTTCAATCTTATCCTCCCAACTTGATTTTTTCCACTGGGTCTTGAATTATTAAGTCATACGGTCTTTTATTCTAAAAGTTTGCTAGCAAGTGGGAAAGGATTGTTGAATCTAAATTTTTATTCTTTTGAATATTTTTCTTATATTTTGGTTTATTATGTTTATCTTTATAATCGTGTAATTTTTATAATTTGGATTTTTGGTTATTTATTCTTACATCAGTATTTCCTTAGCAACTATCATTAGAAAATGTTTCAGAACAGTGTCTTTATAGAATTCAGTTTAACTAATATATCTTGTGTACCTCCTTTATGTAAAACACTCTACCAAGAGCTTTAGTGATATGAAAATGTATATAATAAAATTACCATTTCACAGGAACCTAAAGACTAATAGAAATATGGGTTGAGATAAATATTAAATAACTAGGTATAAGGCATATTATTCATGTCTTAACCTTAAAGCCAAGTGCAGGTATCAGGGAAAAAGGAGATAATATATAGTTGGAGAGATCAGGGAAAGTTTCCTGAAGGATGTATCATGTCTGATGGGTACTGAAAAGTAGGAAGATTTCTAAAGAACTTCAGTGGGAGCTAAAAGAAGGGGTAGTGGAGAGCATTGCAGATGGACCCACTGGCATGATGAGAAGCAAAAGGAGGTGAGAAAGTGTGAGTTGTATTTAGGGAGTAAAACATACTTCATTTGTTATACTGTGTTTGACATATATGAAAGAAGTATAACGGAAAATAACATTAGGGAGGGTAGGTTGTATGTACATTGTAGAGTGCCTTAAATGGTTAAGTTGTGGAGTTTGGATTTAATTTAGTAAACACTGGGCGATTCCTAAATATGTTTAGAAGAATGATAGAGTGAAACATAATAAGAGTAACAATTAGGAAACTTATAATTGATGGGTGGGAGGTTAATGAGGGCTTGAATTATTATTTTGTAGACTGCTATCCATCTCCCAACTATTAGTCATAACACTGGTAGTTGATTTGATTTTTATAAAAATTCCTAAGAAATTTGAGAAATAATATTTTTAAAGTTTGAACTACTTAGTTATCCCAAGAAGATTTTTAACTAACTTTTGAACATTTGCAAGTTAAAATACCACTTGTCCATTAATTAATTATTTAAATAATACAATAACTATTTTTAATAGTCTAGGATTAAGTAAATCCTTCCCCGAAATTACATAGACTACTGAATGCATTTATTCTTTAATCTATCAGGGTTCTCTCTGGAAGGTTACCCTTTTTTGTCTGATTCATCTTATAGTCCTGGATCCATGTCAACATGTCTGTGAGGCTGTATATTTTCAGAACTAATGCTTTCTATGTTGGTTGAATGCTCATAATATATACCTTGGTTAGCCGGTAGATTTTCCTCCATATTAAGAAAAAAGTTTAAAAAAATAAAGAGCAAAGATTTATTAAGAGCTTTCTATATGTCAGGAATTATGCTCAACACTTTGCACATATTGTTCCTGTATTTAAATTTATTTCAAACATACATCAAAGTGCAGAAGATATTAAAACTAATATCTGTGTAGCTGCCCCCCAATTGTGTCCATTCTTAACTTTTTGCCGTGATTATTTACAGCCTTTTTTTTTAAGAAATAAAACATCGCAGAAAAAATTATCTCTGTACCTCTTGTCCATTTCCTTCCATCCCTTCCCAGTGGTAATCACCACCCTAAATTTAGTGTTTTTCAATAGTATACATGCTCCAATACTTTTAGTATATAATGTTCATATTTGAAATCATTTTATTGTATCGTTTGGCAAGTTTAAAATCCTTGTAAACATCCTTCTGAGCCATCGGTGGCATTATCAGACATTTTGTTTTGGTCATTGTGATTGGTGTAAAATGATATCTCACTGTTGTTTTATTTGTATTTCCCTAATTATTAATGAAGTTGTGCTTGCTTTTGTCTGATCTCAGATTTTCTCTTTATTTTGCTGGTAAATACTCTGTTCACTACACATGTGGAAAGTTTTCAATTTGTGGGTTTTTATTTATCTTGTTTATATGCTTTATAGTGGAAAAGTTTTAACTTTTAATATAGTCAGATGTGTCAATGCTTTACTGTTGTGTGTTAAGTCCTTCACTTGCATAAATGTGCTTCTCATATTTAAGTCTTTAATCAATCTGGAATTTCTTATTGTGTATTATGTAGGAAGGATGTCTGCTCTTTCTCTATATGAATAGCTTCTTGAAGTAACCTGTTTGCTTTTGTGATATGTCCGTAGTGATACATATAAATCTTGTTAATTCCTTGAACTACTTATGGGATCCTGTTGTATTACTTTCCTATAGCCTATCGATGGACATTTTATCTATTATTATAGTAAAAGCTGCACTAAACATCCTGTACATCTCCTTGTGTTTGAATATTCATACTTTATACTAGATAGTAGGTTTTTGGTCATGTTACGAATGTTGCTGGCCTTTTAACTTTGCTTATGGTACTTCAGCTGCATAGAAGCTTTAAATTTGGATATTGTAAGATATCTCAGTCTTTCTGTTCATAGATTTTACTCCTGGTGTCTTCCAGCTAGAAAATGTATTTTGATTGGAAGTATTAGGCACTGCTTGGTATATTGGTGAACACAACAAACAAAAGTCTCTTCATTTTTTGGAACTTAAGAAAGCTTTCTCTATCCCATGGTCAAAAATGCATTTTTCTTTCAATAATTGTTAAATATTTTTTAAAACATTTGGATCTTTATCTGTAATTTATTTTTCCATTTAGTACATGCTGGAATCTAATTTTATTTTGTTACCTAACACTGTTACTTAAAAGCAGTATTTTGTCTATTCAGTTATAATTCCACTTCTTTCATACATCATGTTTCTGTAAATTTTTTAATCTATTTCTGGATTTCCTATACTCTTCTGTTTGTTACTGTGTCTGTACCATAATGTTTTAATTACTCTAGCATTAACAGTGTTTTGATATGTAGGAGGGCAAGTCCTTTCCTCTTTTTTCTTTTCCCATTTACCTTTTTTCTATTGGAACTTTTTTTTGGAATTGCAGTGCAGTTACAGTGAATTTTAAAGAGTTAATATATTTACAGTATTGACCCTTCACATATCCATGAATGGTATAGTACCATTTATTTATATCTTCTTTTATGTCCTTCAGTATAGTTGATTTTTCAGTAGTTATTACAACTTTTTTTTGTTTTGCTTTTGTTTTTTATTCTCAAGTACTACCTTTTGTTACAGTAGTGAATAGGGTATTATTTCCTTTTACATTTTCAAATTATTACTGGCATTTGGGAAAGCTGTTCTGTTGATTTTCTGATAACTTAGTATTTTCTCTTATTAGACCTAATAATTGGTAGATTATACGTAGGTTTCTAGGTAAATGGTCAAATTGTCTGTAAATAATAATAGTATTGTATCTTCTTTTTCAGCCTTTAAATTTTGAACTCTCTACCCTGGTTCTACTGACTAGAACCTCTAGTACAGTGTTGAAGTTAGCAGTAATAGTGAGCAGCCTTGCATTAAACTGCATTTAATGCAGTGTTTTTGATGTTTTACCACGGAAGATAGTAATTGATGTAGGTTTCTGGTAGAGAGTCTTTATCAAGTTGAGATAATTCTTCCTATTTCAAGGTTGCCAAGAGTTTTTATTATGCATGGATGTTAAAATTTACCAAATAAACTTTCAACATCAGCTTAGATGATTACTTGTTTCTCTTCATCTTTTTTAATTGCATTAGATTTTCTAAGGTAAAATTTTTAATTGTATTTAATTTTAAACTACTGCCAATTTTGGGCTTGGATGATGTGAGAAAACATTTTAAAATGCAATATTCTCTGTTATAGAAAACTGTCTTCAAAGGAGATGGAGATGACACATTAGAAAACACAATAGTTGATCAAAGGTAAGGTTGAGTTACCAGAAAAATATTATTTTCTTAAGTATATTTATTGTTGAAATAATTCCTTTAGTATTAGGATTGTTTATTTCATAGTCTGCTATAATTAGATATTGAATATACAAGGGGGCAAAAAGGCAGCATTATAATCTATAAGAGTAGCTCTCAACTGGGGTGATTTTATCTCCCTCCTATTCGTAACCTCCTCTGGAGTTTCTAGAAACTGGCCCTCAGATGTGGAGGGCTAAGAGAGACTGAAGTAAGAGGCAGACCACTCCAGACTGGTAAGTGGCAAATTTATTAAACAATGGAATCTATTTATGAGGCTTGTCTTGGGAGGATGCAAGATAACTAGATTTCCTCACCTGCCTGCCATAATCTTAAAAGTTGATATAGAAGCTTTAACTTGGTTCAGTCACACATTACAGGAGGCCTTAACTGGGTTCACTTACATACCTAGTATGGATAGTCTCAGCATCACATTACTATCTTAAGGCTGTATCTTTGGAGCAGCTTCTAGAACTGGGGAAGGCAAGCAGAACACATATTTCAAGGATAGGGGAGGGGGTGAGTAGCCTCCAATTGCCCAGGTTCAGCTCAAGGGTCAACTGGCAGTTGTTTTCTTGATGAACTCCTTCATTACCTCCCCTCCCTTGATATTTGACAATATCTGGAAATATTAATTGAGCTAAGATTGAGAACAGGAAAACGGCAAAATATTGATTGCTATGGATACATTTAACATGAAAATGTTGATGTTCAATTTAATTTACATATTATACATTAACCTATATTAAACAATATGCCATTTTTAAACTATGTATTTTTTCTTTAGCTTTTTAGCTCCTCTTATTATTGAGTATGATAAGCATCTGGAAGAGCTAAATAGGCAGCTGAAATATTATCAGGTATGAAATCATAGTTATCAAGCTTTTTATAATATTCTATTAAAAAAGTAAAATATACTCTTTTCAAAAACATTGATGAGGAATAAAATATTTAGCTATAACTAATCAATTCTTCACTGTCTGTAAGAAAGAGTTGTGTGTGTGTGTGTGTGTGTGTGTGTGTGAGTGTGTTTAAAAATTATTTTCAGTTTTGTTTTTTTGATCCAGTGTTTCCTTGCTCCTGGTATCTCCCAAGATCTCTTAGATGCTTGAAGCTCTTAAACTCATTATTATATGCTTATCTCTTTATTTTTTCCCCCAGGGAGACCCAAAGCCATCTCATACTTTGAGACCTTTCTCTTTACCCTCATTCTACCTGTGTATCCCATTATTTGGAGAATGGATTTTTCACCCAATTTCAAATATTATGTCCATCAAATTTTAGATGCATTTGATCAGTTTCTAATACAGGCTTAAGCTATGGCAGCTTTCCGTCTGAAATCCTTTCAGTAATTAGGGTTTATTTTAGGAGTGAACAGAGTGAAGAAACCAAGGACACTTCTATCCTAGAATTTCTAAGATTAGGATATATAGCAGGCTCATGGAGAACTAGAATAATAGCACAACATTATTCAGGATACAATCTGATTTCAGTGATCGACATTTTTAGAATATTGTTAAGATTTATAATTTGTTTCTTTGATTTTAAAAGTTTTTTACATTTTCCTCCCAAACTTTGACCTTTCTTTTTTTTTTTTTTAGAAAGAAACTTTTTTTTTTAAGATTTTATTTATTTAATTGACAGAGAGACACAGCGAGAGAGGGAACACAAGCAGGGGGAGTGGGAGAGGGAGAAGCAGGCTTCCCGCAGAGCAGGGAGCCTGATGCGGGGCTTGATCCCAGGACCCTGGGATCATGACCTGAGCCGAAGGCAAGAAGGCAAACGCTTAACCAGCTGAGCCACCCAGGCGCCCCAAACTTTGACCTTTCTGACTGTTGGATAACCATACAAAGGAAGCATTTGTTAAAGAGATGCTATATGTCTCAAGCTAAGCTCACTAGAAGGTGATAAACTTCTTAGAGTTTGAATATACTCATTATTGTGTTTGGCTTAGATACCAATCCCTGGATCAGTTCAGTTGGGTAGCAAGGTTGACTTAATTTAATGCAAATGAAAGAAAGAATAGCAACTTTATATAAAAACACCACCTTAAGACTGATTTCCTCAGAATGGGGCTGTAAGTGTGGCAAACACTAAACTTTATTTATATCTCTTCTCTTCATGCAGGGACAGCAAGAGACCCTACCATATGCTTTGAAGTCTAGTGTATAATAAGCCCTCAATTTTTGATGAATGAATAAAAAACCAGGGCCTATTAGAACAAGATGATTAGAGCTAGCTTAACAATCTCCTATTTATAAGTTAATGAATTGACTAAAAGTGTTTTACTAAAAGAACACATAATGTTTTCATCTTCTAAAAATAAGTTAGGTTTTCCATTGCATTTGAAATTATTTATACTCTCTTTTCCAGGATTAATCCTCTAATATACATTTACAAAGTGATCCTGTAAACCCAAATTTCAAAAACAAGCATTTCTTTAAATTGCAGTTCCTGTTTTATTGTAAGTTAATTAGGTGTTTTCCTAGTCTTAACTATGTGCTTTTTTTTTTTTTTTAAACCTGTGGTCATTTAAGTTTGAACCGACCGTAGTAATGTCTTTTAATCTTTCTAATTGACAATTAAAGAGCAACAGAAAGCTCTCTTCTGCACACATGGTATTTTGCTTTTATTTTTAGGGCTAGTGAGTTAAAGTTTCTGCTGAATTCACCGAGGATTGCTATAATGACATCTTATGTGGTTTGATTGTTATAAAATGGGGTAACTAGTTATTTTGAATTAAACTTTTAAATTTTTAATTTTTTATAATCTAGCTGATTCATATATCTCTTTAATCAGCTATTTTACTAAGGTGTTTAACTTCATTTTCCTATTTAGCATTCTCAATCTAAGAGTGATTATTGAATTAATTACAAGAGAGAGAAAACTGTAGCAGAAAGCCTAAGGGTCTGTAACAAGAGTAGTTGCTACTTTTAGAGAGGAAAAGAAAATGCTGACAGATAAATCTAAGAACAGTTGCTCACATGGATATTACTGATTAGAACTAGTTCTTAGGATTTATTGACCAGTAAAAAAATGGTTTATCTTGAAAGCAAGAGAAGTATCGCTATAGTTCTCTACATGAAAAATTTTCTTCCAAAAATATAAATAAGGGAAAATTTGATAATATGAGAGGGACTGCTGAGATTTTGTTTCCTTCCAACTATTAAATATTTTGAAATATTTTACAGTAAAGAATCTTTAGTGTGACTATAATGATTCACCTGTAATCCTAGCTATATATATATATATATATATATATAAACTATTTGAGTAATTTGAGTAAATATTTTTTAAGATATGCCAACATTTTTGCAACTTTTAAAGATCTTGCAAGATTTTGCAACTTTTAAGATCAGTTTTTTGGTTTTGTTTTTTTTTTAATGACAAGAATCAGGATAATTGCTATAATAAAATCCAAACCTCTTAGTTACCATGGCATTCAAGACCTGCTGCCTGCCTTTCCAATTTTCTTTCACTTCATCATCACTCAATGTATGGTCACTTCTCAGTTATCTGATAGTGAATTCATTCATTTTGGTTTAATTGTGCTTCATTCACAGCAAGGACCTGGGAAAGGTTCAACTTTAGAGTTAGCTGTTAACTGATTTCCTAGACCAAGCTGCCACTAGCTTCTCTGGTTGAAAGGGAAGCAGAAGGGCTTGGAGCATTGCCTGTTTCACCCTTCCCTTGCCAGGTTCACTCCAGGCTTGGCTCTTCTCCTTTAGCCTAGGATACCCAATCAAGACTAATGGACATATCATGAGTTGATTGCAGTTTTGTTTTAAGTGCGATTTTACATGGCCTCTTTCCTGCTCTCCCCTTGCCTATTTACTCTCATTGAGAGCTGACAACTATGCCTGTGTTATAATATTTTTTGCCTCTTTGCTTTTACACGTATTTCTCTCTACTTGAAATGCCTTTCCTTTCCTGTTGAAATTTTACAATCCCTTTATCTCCTCAGAGAGAATTAATCTACCAAACTCATTCTCTTTATGGTATATTTTATTCTTATTTGTATTTTAATTAGTGATTCCTTTTTTCTCCATTTTTCCTATTAAAGTATATGTTGGTGATGATATAGGTTTACCATAGCAACCTTATATGGTGTGGAGAGTTTAGACAGTTAATAAAGGTGGCGAATAGGAGACTAAGTGAATTACTGCTAAAGAAGATCTCTATTTTCTTTTTCACCATTAACGTTTTACTTTTTCAAATACAAGCTCTTATATGGGCTTCACCTAAACTAAAGTGAATTAAGAATACATTCAGGGTATGGGGATCATCTGGTATTTGTTATAGTGACATACTGAGGAATATCTCATCTTTTTTTTATAAACATCTATAAATCATAGGAATGCATTTGTAAATATTTCTCAGTGTGTCATATAAATATTTTTATATTTGTTTCAAAATGAATGCTTTATTATATTCTATGTATCATTAAAATATCCATATTTACTAGTGCTTATTAGGAGTAAAGAATAGTTGTTTCTTATCAGTAGCCTAGTGCCATAGAATCTGACTGCTTGCATGGGAATGGATTACTTAATAGAGACCTGTCTGCAAAATGCATTCCATATTTTAATCTTTCAGAAACATATGGGCGAGATGAAACTACATCTTGAAAATGTCATCAAGGAAAACGAAAGGTAGATCAATTAACAGTTGATTCTTTTATTGTTATTCTAGGTAATTTTTATTGTTGTTATTTGATATTTCATTCATATAGTATACTGGTTATGAGTACAGATCTGGAGCCTGATTTTCTGTTTGACTCCTAGGTCCATTACTTACTAGCTGTGCAACCTTAGACAGTTACTTAACCTCTTTGTGCTTTAGTTTTCTCATCTCTGAATTGTAAATAATAATTTATTTCATAGGGCTGACTGTAGAGGAAGATAGGGTACATAATAAACACTTTATAAATATTAGCAATCATTAATAAGATAGTTATTTTAATCACATATGTTATGAAACATACTGATAAAACAAAAACTGACAATCCACCATCCAGGTAAGAGCTAAAAAAAGTTACCAATACTGGTGCATCTACCCATGTTTTCCTTCCCTATCCCATTCCTCTCCTGTCTTCTGCTAGATATTAACACTTTCTTGAATTTTGTGTTTATCGTTCCCTTGCTTTTTAAATTTTTTAATAGATGTGTGTATCCCTAACAATATATTATTCGGTTTTGTATTTTTTTTTTAACTATAAAAAAATCATATCATTTAGTCTCCTGGGACTTTTTCTTCTACTCAGTATCATGCACAAACAAGCACAAGAGTTTCAAGGGATAATCTTGCTGGGTCATAGATTATATTAATACTCAGTTTTACAATATAACACCAACTTAATCTCCAAAGTGGCTGTACCGATTTACATTCCCACCTGTGATATTTATGAGTTCTTATTGATCTATATGTTTTTATCAGCACTTAGTCTTACCAGGTTTCTTAATTTTTGTTATTTTGAGTCTTAAATGGTTTTTCATTGTGGTTATAACTTAACATTTCCCTGAATACTAATATGGTTAACCATTTTTCATATGTTTATTTATCCATGTGATTTTCTCTTCTCATTAAATACTTGTTCATTTCTTTTTCCCAGTTTCTATATACCTTTTCCTTATTAAATTGTCAAAATAGTTTATATACTCTGTATTCTGAATATTTGTTGGGGTGCCAATCTGTGTCAATGCAGTAATAATACTGTAAACGATAACCATTGTAGAAATTTCAGAGAGGAAGGAATTTAGTCACTTACATGTAAGTACTACTAGATCCCGGGTTTTAGGATCATAACTTAGGGGCTGTGATCTGGAGGTCAGAAATTTATGGTGCTGCCACCATCTCTGTTGCTACTCCTACAGCATCATTTCCCTAAAGCCTAGAGTCTTGCCATTGGAAAGCGAGGCACAGGGTATTGACTATAAGAATACCCTCATGTCTGTCCAGTTTTGCTTGCTGTCTGTCATACCAATAGAAAAATATTCTCAGCTCACTTCTGTTTTCCATATCCCCCTCAAGTGCTTCTCACTGGTGAAACTTTAATCCCACCCAGAACTCCAGCTACAAGAACCACTGAGAAATATAGTTTTAGACTTTCAGCCACTGTGCTAGAGGCTGGAAGATGAAAAGGGATGGGAATGAATAATGTTGCTACAGTACCATACAACATGCTAGCCAGTAGGTGTTTCATATATCTGTTCCCAGGTTATGGTATGTTTCATGAAAAGAATTTTCTATTTTGTTTTTAATCTTAAGATAGGTGAATCCATCTTTTTTCTTATGGTTGTTATTCTTTGTGTCTCTAACAAATCCTCTCTCAGCCTGTGATCATAAAAATCCCTATTTTTGGCTAAAAATGTTTAAAGTTTTATTCTATCCGAAGTTTCTCAACTTTAACTTTTAAAGATCATGCAGCTGGGCTGAAATCTGATACATCTTTTGTTGTTGACTTGTATAACTAGACCAAACTGGGAGAAATAATTTTGTTTAGTTCTAAATTCATTTAAAACATGGGCTCTTTTATTTTTTTTTTAACGATTTTATTTATTTGTTTGACAGAGAGAGAGCACAAGTAGGCAGAGAGGCAGGCAGAGGGAGAGGGAGAAGCAGGCTCTCCACTGAGCAGGGAGCCTGACGTGGGGCTCGATCCCAGGAGTCTAGGATCATGACCTGAGCCGAAGGCAGCCACTTAACCGACTGAGCCACCCAGGTGCCCATAAGCATGGGCTCTTTTAAAGCTAGCATTCTTTTGTATGTATTTTGTTATATATAGCAGTTTCCTTTTTTATTGTTAATTTATTTTAGTGTAATACATGTTGTTCTTTAGGACAGAATCATCTAGAACTCCCATGGAATTCGTATGTCTTGCTTTTGACTATTTTGTCATTTTCTCACTTCCATTTTAAAAAATATGTTTCATTATTTCTCCTCTTCTCTAATTTCTGAAAGTTTCGTATGTTTAAGCTAGTTGGCTGAAGTGTAAAATAAATCTTTTAATTGGGTTTTCAATTTTTCTTATTTGCTTTTTCCCCGTGGAAGTTTTTCTAACTTTAACTTTTTATGATTTACTATTCTATCTCAAAAGAGTTATTAAATAAGCCATGCTGTTCCTAACAAAGAACATTGCTAAGATTTTTGAATCACCAATGTATGTAGATTAAGCTTGTATTTTAATGTAATGGGGTTAGAAGAGGTATTATATGGTTGAGATAATCATTTTGTTTCCTATATTTGGTTCCACATACTTACTTCCTTTCATGTCCAGGTCTTTTTAAGCCAGTCTTTTAAAAATCTGCCTTTACCTATTTAACAGTAATGTGGTCATGTCTCTTGAATGTATTTATTCCTAGTACAATAGGAAAGTGGGAAAAAATGGATTCTGAGCTTATTAAAAAGACACTTCTAGTAACTTGAAAATGTTCTCAGGTTTTAAAGTGAATTCTGCTTATTATATTTTTAGGGCAACATCCTATTTTTAATTATGTATTGCAGTTAAGGACTGCAAAATCAAGAGAGTTTATCATTTTTAAGGAGAGTATCTTAAATGTGTATACATGGTCAGTTCTGAATAATGGAAGCTAGCAGTGACATGGATTATATGGATTATATAGTAGTATGTTATTCTACACTATTGGGTTTTGGAAACATTTTAGTATTTACATTTTTATATGGGTGGATATAATGTGGGAATTGACCACGGATAGGAAATAATGAAGTCATTTTAAATCAGGCTAAGGAGGAGGTGAAAAAATACTTTCCTTCCTCCCATTTTTAAGTCTGTTCCTTGAAATCTAGTTCATATTGAGAATATAGTGTCTTGTACTAAATTTTTTCTGTAATACCATCTTTTCTCCTCAAAACTTATCAGAGGAAGTAAATTGCATAAGATAATGAAATGCAGGATTATATGTACAACACTTTCTGGCACTAAATACTAATCTTTATTGTTTGTTATATGATTATTCAGGCTATGGAAGACATCATTTGTTGCCTCCATAAGAGCCATTTTTAATTCTTTCATTCAGCTCTGATTTTGTTCCAGTGTCACTGTGCTCGGGGGAGATCAGGTGCTTTCACAGTTTTAAGTGATAAGTCTTTTATTCAAACTAGTTGGAATTTCTTTTTGCCAGGGATTGGTCTAGGAATGAACACGGGACCCTACTTTTAGCCAGTGAAGTATAAGAGAAAGTCTGTTGTAGAGTTTCTGGTAGAGTTTTCTCTCTGATTTAAAAAAAAAAAAAAAAAAAAAAAAGAGGCTGGCAAGAAGAAAGCTTTACCTCTTTCCAGCTTCTTGTTATTTTAGAAAGTGATATGTGAAGTTGGTATAGCCATTTAGCATCCGTGGGGGTAGATATCAAGATTGAAAGAAGGGAAAGATGAGAAAACCTTTGGTCCTTATTATATTATTGAACTGCTGAAACAAATCTGGAACCACTTACCCTCTCAATTTAATATTAGATGAAGTAATAAAATATTCAGTCATTCATTTATAAGTATTCATTGAGTGCTTATAAGTACCAGGCACTATTCAAGTGAATACATCAGTGATAAAACAGACAAAAATGACCAAACATCCTTGCAGTGCCTGGGTGGCTCGGTTAAGTGTCTGTCTCTTGATTTTGGCCCAGGTAATGATATCAGAATCCTGATATCAAGCCACTTGTTGGACTCCCTGCTCAGTGGGGAGTCTCCTTGTCCCTCTTTCCCTCTGCCCCTTCTTCCAGTAGTGTGTGTACTCTCTCTGGCTCGCTCTCAAATAAATAAATCTTTTTAAAAAAATGACTGTCCTTATTTTTTGTTAGGCATTTTGTTACTTACAGCCAAAAGTACTAACTGATAGAGAAACTTAATTGCATCTGTCAGAGATTCATAAACTACAGCCTGTGGACCAAATTTGGCCTGCTACCTTTTGTAAATAAAAATTTATTGACTCACAGCCACATTCATTCATTGATATATTGTCTATGGTAAACACTGCTGTTCTTGTGCTACTTGAGGTGCTGTGAGGAAGACTGTCCCCAAAAGTCTGCCAAAATCCTAAGTTTTATAAAGTTTTAAGTTTCCATTTCAAATCTCGTATAAAGCCAGAGCTACCCTGATTTCTCTATGTCTCTGTTTATAATTGAGTTTATTTTTCTTTATGTGTATATACGTACACTCTAATTGTTTGTTATATTATTATGCAATCTATGGAAGACATCATTTGTTGCCTCCGTAAGAGCCATTTTGTATTTTCCCTTTGATTACTAGTCTCTAGTCATGCCAGCCTTCTTATTTGGCTTCCCTAAACCTGGCAAACCAGTGTCCCCCTGAAGACCTTACCTAACTCTTCTGCCTAGAATACTCTTCTCCAGACCCACACAGGAGTGTCTTCCCTTTGTTCAGATCTTTCATCAGGAAAGCATTCCCTGACCACATTACCTAGCTGTTTCCACCGTCTTCCCCTTTCTTTTTTTTTTTCTATAATACAGTTTTATTTTATTTATGGCACCTGTTACTACTTGAAATTATTTGCCTATTTGCTTATTTTTTTTGTCTTATCTACTAGAATGTATCCTTCTTGCGAGCAAGGCCCTTGTCTATTCTTACTTACCACTCTATCCCTAACATCATTGAATAGTGCTTTATCTTTTGTGCAAAA